GAGAAGTAGCAGAATGTATTTTGGGGAGTACTTCCACATATACCCATGGCATGTGTGAGCAGTTAATCATTTCAGTGACAATTTTGTGTAAAAAAAAAAAAAAAAAAAAAAAAAAAAAAAAAAAAATTGTCATTTTCCAAAAACTTGTGGTAAAAAAATTCAACATGCCTCTCAGCAAATAGCTTCGGGTGTCTACTTTCCAAAAAGGTGGCGTTTTGGGGGGTGGGGGCATTTTATACCCAGCATTAGAAGTTTATGACACACATCACTCACTCTTCTAACCACCAAGCCTTTTCTGACACTTTTTGTTCACATGAAAAAAATCAATATTTTTTGCTAGGAAATTAACTTTAACCCCCAAACATTTTTTTTTTTTTTAAAGCAGACACCCTAGTGAATAAAATATAATTTTTTATGGTACATAGTACTCGCGCAGCGATTTTTTCAAAAGCGAATTTTTTTAAAAAAAAATAATTTTTTTTTTTACTTTTTAATGCACAAAAACACAATATATCTGGCAATTATTTGGTAAAATATAAAAGATGATGGTATGCTGAGTAAATAGATACCAAACATGACATGCTTTAAAACTGCACATGCCCAGTGCAATGGCGACAAACTGCATACATTTTTAATATCCATAGGCAACGCTTTAAAAGTTACCATTTTAGATTTACAAAGGAGGTCTAGTGTTAGAATTACTGCCCTTGATCTGACGTTCACGGCAATACCTCACATGTATGGCGCAACTGCTGTTTACATACCGGCACAGGGTCAATGCTTGTGCACACAGGTGTGCGTGTGCATGGGAGGGGAGAGTTTTTTTTTTTTTTAAGTTATTTTGATTTTTTGTATTAGTTTTACACTGTACCTTTTTTTTTTTTCATTTTTTTTTTTTTTTGATCACTTTTAATGCTATCACAGCGAATGCAAATATCCCCTATAACTTCAATGGGCATTGTCATATATTCTTTTTTCAGAAATCTGGGGTCTATCAGGCTATACAGTAGATCTCTTGTCTTCCCTTACATTATCTAATCAAACCAAAATCGGTGTGATCAGATGCTTTCCCAATTTACAAATGACGCTGTTTATATCCTGCAAAACTAAAGTGATGAAATGCTTGTAGCTTCTGATTTCTTAGGCTATAGAGTTGGTTGGCACTATTCTGGTCTCCAATCAGCTCTATGGTCAGCTGGCAGAAACACTGGCTGCATTCTGAGGTTTCCCTGATGCGCGCGGGACTGCTCGAGAAGGTCGTGGAAGGCAGGGGGGGGAGGGGGGGCATCATCTCCCGCTGCTTGTAAAAGCAATCCTGCAGCTAATTGGCCACTAGGATTGCATTTATATGAAAACCGATCGCCGGCTGAAAAAAATGATACCAGGATGATGCCTGCAGCTTTAGACATCATCCTGGTATAACCATTCAAAGTCCAGTGATGTACCAGTACATCGCTGGTCCTTGTTGGGTATATATACTATGTTCTTTTTTTCTTTTTTTTTGTATGCAGCCTGTGGACTGAATGGAAAAAAAAGAGAAGAAATCTCTGCCAGAAAAAGTGTGTGGTATGCCCACCATTAGAATATTCCTCCCTGCATCCACCCACTTCTAATGGTGGGCACACATTAGGTCACATTGTGCCACATGCGCCAGTTCCAAGTTTGAACAAATGTCTAAAATAGTGCTACGTTTGAATAAAAATTGTCCACGTATAAGTGGTACCCCATATGGAAAAAGGATGAAACCAAGCCCCAAACTATCCTGCTACTGCTCCCCATGTAGTCTGGGCATCTGGGGGGGCTCCACGTGACTATCTTTTCCCTCGTAAATCCGAAACGTATAAGTATAGCCTGTTGTCCTCTCACAGGTCTTCTACATCTTGACCCCATATCTGGCACGCTTTCTGGGGAGAAATTGTTTGAATGCAAGGCAGAAAAAAATTAGGGACTCATCAACGCAGATTTTTTGCTGGGGAGTATAAACATCTGCAAATTTTTGGTTAAGCTGATTTGCGAGGGGCTGAATTTTGTGGAGCCGGTCAAATTCAGGGTCACCCCGAGGATGACAGAGTGTATTGTCGTTGAAATGCATAAAACACATTATACTCTCATATCTATGCCTGGCCATGGCAGCAGAGAACACAGGATATGATGAATCGGGTCTGCGGACCAATACAGCCGCAATTAATTTTTTTTTAGTAATGCCCATATTGAGGATTGGGCCCAAAAAAAATTTAAATTTGGAAACCGTAATGAGTTTCCATGTGACTGGTTTGGCAAGGTTTGAATTTGGGTTGGCGGCGATAAATTGTTGTGCATATAAATTGCTTTGATCCACAATCAACGCATACAGATATTCTGTAAAAAACAGCTCCAAAAATCAAGGGGAGTTGTTAAATTTGCTATTTCCACCTGAATTCCGGGTTGGGCAGTGAATGGGGGAAGTACAGGTGCTGCAGAATTTGTGGGCTGTCAATCGGGATTTGCAAGCACATCCGGAAGGATACTAGGAGCTCTATGGGCCTGTGTGTGAATTCTTGGTGGCACCGGCTTGTACTGGACTTGTGGGACTCGCCACGTCACCAAGTCATACTGCAGTGCTGGTATTAATATACAGGATTTATATAGCGCCAACAGTTTGCTAAGCGTTTTACAGTATAACGGGAGACAATACAGCAACAGTTCAATACAAGAGGGTTAGGAGGGCTCTGATCCTGGGAACTTACAATCTAAGAGATTTGTGAAAGACCAAGATGTACTAGACCGCTGGTGCTCGCCAGTTCACCAAAAGGTAGCACGGCACTAGTAATGGCACTCTGCTGCATATGAGAGTCCTCAAAAATTTACCGACAAGTGCTAACAGAGATCAGGACTGATTCTGCGAACACTGCGGTTTTGTGTGCAATGTATCAAGTGGTATAGTGGTGATCTGATCAAAGCTAGTGATCCGTTCAGACACTATACTAGCAATGGAGGTTTATTGTGCATGAGTGTGCTCCTGGCAGGGGCGTGAAAACCACAGGAGCACAAATCGTGTGTGTGATTTTGCGTACCTGTGCCGCCCTGTAGCAGTATTTCTGCTATAGGGTGGTCAGGAAGCGGTTACAAAAGCGATTTGTGTTATGGTGCTGAATTACTTTAACTGACAATTGCGCGGTCATGCAACGCTGCACCCAAATTAAATTTATGTCCTTTTTTCCCACGAATTGAGCTTTCTTTTGGTGGTATTTGATCACCTGTGCATTTTTATTTTTTGCGCTATGAAAAAAAGGCTGTGAATTAAAAAAAAAAAAACCCCAATATTTTGGACTTTTTGCTATAAAACATGTCCAGTAAAAAAATGTAAAAATCAAATTTTGTCAAATGTCGGCCAAAACGTATTCTGCGACATGTCTTTGCTAAAACAAAATCCAATATGTGTAAATTAATTGGTTTACGTGAAAGTTATAGCATCTACAAATGGCGGGAAAGATACTGGGATTTTTTTTTTAGAATAATAATAATAATGGCGTCGATCAGCGACTTATGACGGTGATCAGTGATTTATGATAGTGATCAGTGACTTATGGCGGGACTGCAGGACTGCGGTGGACATTTTGACATGGGGGGGGGGGGGGGGGAACTGACTTGGGGTCACTGACATCCCCAGTGACACCTGTACAGTGATCAGTGAAAAAAAAAAAAAATACTAACACAGTATTAATGGCACTGGGGTGGAAGGGGTTAAAATTTTTATTCAATCAAAGGGTTAACTGTGTGAGGGGAGTGTTTTACTAGTGGGCGGGGGGTGTGTACTTCACAGGAACACACTGATCCCGAGAGCTAAACTCCGTTCTCAGGATCAGTGTGTTGGGAACTGACAGGGAGCAGAGCTGCAGTGTAAACACTGCAGCCGTGCTCCCTGTCAGTGATTGCCGGCAATCGCTGGGTCCCAGCGGGTAATGACCAGCCAGGACCCGGTGATTGACAACCGTGGCCGTGATCGGCGGCGTGGGTAGAGGCGGGTGCGCGCCTCACACGCTCCCCCTACCTGTTTTGCTAAATGACGTTTTAAAATGTGATTTAGCACAGCGGTGCTGCCCTGCCGCAGTATATACACTGTGGCTGGTAGGCAAGTAGTTAATGAACGTTCACATAGTTACAGCAAGGTAATGTTTCGGAGTCTCACAGGACCTCTTCATTAGGCATGTGACATCCGGTCACATGCATGATGAAGGGGTCCTGCAAGACTCCGAAACATTGCCTTGCTGTAACTATGTGATCGTTCATTAAAACTTCTGGACCCATATTGGTGATCCTCAGTGTGCTGGTGACATTCTCCCTTACTCTGCGCTTAGTCTTCACAACGATGATCTCTGAAAAAGATTTTCAGGCTTTAGCTTATTGAGTATTAGTAGCAGCAGAAGCACATGCTTTTGCTATCATTACAAATCAGTCTGCTTAACGCTAATAATGTTTAATTATGTGTCTCAAATGTAAATTGCTGGCTAAATTACTGAAAACATCCTCCAGGTACCACCCAGATTCTACAGTTTCTGAATGACTACACTACTTGCACGTCTCGGTCACCTCTGTCCTCCTCTTCCACTACTGATCTTCTATTACAGTCACTGTTTAGACTCTTGCAGACTGAAGTAGGAGAGATCTGTGTCCATGTGCTGTTGACCTGTGTATGTGTATTCTGTATACAAAGAGCTGCTGTTTGCTCTGGCTTTTCCACTGCCAGCATGGAGCTCAGTGGAGGAGGCATTCTCTGCATCCTGGAACAGAGTGTGCTGATGTGAACAGTTCGCTGGATTAAAACTCCATCCTCCAGAGAACAAAAATGCACCATCCAGGATTCTATATTAGCCTATGAGGTCATCAGCTCCTGCATACAGTGATCTTTCACATACATGGTTTGGTGACTTGGCAGTAAACTTCCAGAGCAGCTCCTCCTGTTGCACATTTTCTTGAGTCTGTACTACAGTATACTAACAGAAAACTGTTGTCATCTGTAGCCCGGACGATGCCACAAAACAGCAAGACAGACACCAGGACTGGAAAGGAATCCAAAATCTAACACACTTTTCAGAGAGGAGAAAGCATAATATAGTAATGTCTCACCCTGAGAAAGAGGAGGAGGCGGCATTGCCTGAAAGTACCCCGTCTGTATGTATAGACTTTTTTTTTTTTCACTTTTTTTTTTTTTTTTTTTTAATAAGAAACTATTGAAATGTTTTATAGAAAAATGCCTTACAGGAATAACTCTAATTGTACTTAGATTTATATGTATTTTAGTTTTTAGCCTCTTCATAAAAATACACTGTGGACAGTATTTCCAAAAAAGTGGAATTAAAGTGAGTGTATCAATAATATAACAAAAACCCCATGCAAATATCTGTTTTTTTTTTTTTTTTTTTATGGTTATAAGAACAGTACAGCACATGGTCCCTTTATCATAGATCATAGCTAATTGGTAAGACTATTTTATGTTTTTAGGATAAACATTTTCCAGTAGGTTTGACAGATTAACGTAGTAAAGGTTTTATTGCACATTCATTGCAAGCTGGATTTGATGAAGTAATAGTAAGCAAAATGTAAAGCAAGTGTTCCTGCCATCGAGCTTTGATTTAGAGATCACAGTTTCTCTGTAGGCCCCTTTCACACGAATGCATTTCATTCTGTCGCACCAGGAGATCCTAGACTGATCCCCTGCTGAGTCAGACCAGAATATGACATCCGTGTCCATACTGATATTTGTCCACCATTTTGTAATAAAGAAAAAGGGACCCCTGTAATATCCATAGGTGGACAGGTATAAACTAAGTAAAAGTGTAAACTTTTCTTGCGTTTTGTCCAACAAAAATCTGATCTGACCTACATACAAAGGAACACGTGTCTGCACACATATGACCACCTATAGGGGCACATTCTATTTTTGATTCGTGTAATCACATGTCAAAAACAGGCAACCGGTACTCCTGTGTGAAAGAGGCGCTAGTGGTAAAATATGTTCATTATTGCTTCATTGCTTTTCATTATTTGAGACCGTTGACCTTGACCCTCATTTTTTTTTTTTTTCTGACTGTCCTCAATTGAACTTTGTAAGTTGACTCATAGGCCCTGATTTACTATTGTGCCTAGGCGCAATTCCGTGGGCGAACGTCTACTTTTTACTAGCGACCGTCTACTTTTACCCCGCTAAGAGATTTACTAAAGAGAAGCATCAACAAGTAGACGCCAAATCGAATTTACTAACGAGACACAGACCAGGAATCAGACTCAAAAAGCAGACTTGCTAAGAGGCACGTCTAACACCATGAAAAATCACTGCAGAAACATGTTCACATTGAAATTTGCTTTGCCGAATATCAGGACTTCACTTTAAACAATATCTGCCATTTCCCAAAAAATTTTAAATGTGTTAAGTTTTTTTTTACTAGACGCTTGTGCAGCGTATTTGTCTGATATAAATGCCCATGTGCAGAACACATTTTAGACGTCCTGTCAGAAATCGCCGCGGCGCTGGTCCCGGCGCAGGCGCAGTGCGCCGCCCTGTGCAGGGACGCGGGCACTAGGTCCGGGCCGGCCGCGGCATCCGAACTCGCGCATGCGCACTAGAAGCTGCGGGGCGCGCGCGCCTGGCACCAATGACCGCGCAGGGCGCGATATTTAAACTGCCCTGAACTGTCATTGAGTGCCGTCTGGCCTTTTCTGAATCCCTGTTACCTGTGTACCTGTATCCTGATTGTTGCTGACCCGGATTGTCCTTGACCACGCTGTATTCTCCTGCTCTGACCCTTGGCTTGCCTGACCTCTCTCCTGGATGCCCCCTATTGGATCTGATCTTCTGTTGCTGACCTGCGTGTGTGACCCGACTATTCTCTGCCCACTGCTTTGTACCGCACCGTCCCCACGGCTACCGACCCGGCTTGTCTGACCTCGCACCTGCTCAGCCATCCATCCATCCCATCGGGGTCACCCGACCTCCTCATATCAGGCTCTTCCCTGTGGGAGCCCCTGGCGAACACCCCTACCACTGGTGGGTGTACTCAGTAGTCACGACCTGGTCTCGGAGCGCTCCAAGTCCATCCCCACCATCAGGGGCCCTGGTGAACAAGTGCTCTGGGGCTTAGATTCCGTACTCTGGGGGCACCTGACCAGCGGAGTGCTAGTGGTACCGCCAGGCGGTCCGTTACCGTACCAGACGGCCATGACTGAGCCTAGAGAAGGGCCCGCCCCGCTGGAAGACATTTGTAGGCACTTGACGGCCCTGACACAGGCCGTGGCGGCCCTACAAGATAAATGCATGCATTTGGAAAATCGGTTCCAGACCCTTTCCGTATCTGACACTACCCCACAGGCCCCTGCTTCTGCGCCTCCGGCTGGAGAAGCTCCTGGGCCAGCCATAGGAGCTTCTGCTCCACCACGTATGGCGGAACCCCGAGTACACCTGCCGGAACGTTTCCGCGGAGACCGTACTCTCTTCAGGGCCTTCCGGAATTTTTGTCTCCTATTTTTTAACTTACAACTACAGGACGAACCCCAGGACTGGGCCCATCGGTTAATGGAGAACCATGACCCACACCTTGAGACGGTAAAAGACTTTTTTGAGGCTATGGCCATCCTCTATGATGACCCGCAGCGGGCAGCCTCCGCCGAATCGGCGTTATACTCACTTAAGCAGGGCCGCCGGGCTGCGGAAGAGTTTAGGCGATGGATGGGGGACACTCGCTGGAACGATGCCGCTCTGCGGCACCAATTCCGTATGAGACTCTCAGAGTCCCTCAAGGATGAGTTGGCCCGGGTAGGCCTACCTGAGTCTTTAGAAGATCTCATCACTCTGGCAATCCAAATAGACCGGAGACTACGGGAACGCAGGTTGAGAGGTCCAGCCAGAGTCACGGAAATACATGGGCTCCGGTCCAAGGCCTCCGTCAACCAACCCGGATGGATAACCAGACCCCCACCTCCTGGGGATGCCCAGGAACCTATGGAGCTGGGTCTGGCTCGGCCTAAACTTTCTCCCGAGGAACGCCAGCGGAGACGATCCCAGAACCTCTGCCTCTACTGTGGTGAAGCCGGTCACATGGTACGGGCCTGTCCTCTGAAAGCGAGTAAGTCTACCTCTTCTTTTTCCTCCTTATCTATTGGGGATGTTAGTCATTCTAAGTACTTAGTTGTACCCCTCTCCTTCCAGCTTTCAGGAAGAACCGTGGAGGTGACAGCCATAGTTGACTCGGGGGCGTGCAGTTGTTTTCTGGATCTAAACTTTGCTCGCCAGCAGGACATTCCCCTACAACCCGGAAAGAGGGGTCTTAATATATTGTTGGCTGATGGTTCCCAGATTAAATCGGGAGTGGTTAATCAGGAGACCCCCCTTATCGCCACCACAATAGCTAACCAGCATCAGGAATTCCTCCGCCTAGACGCTATCGCGTCACCCCTTTTCCCAGTCATTTTGGGGCTTCCTTGGTTGCGGGCCCACAACCCCCTAATTGACTGGGAGACCGGGTCTATCCTGTTCCATTTACCATGTCAGGAACACTGTCGCACTTCGGGCCCTGCAACCCCCCCAAGTCCTCCTGTGCTCCGAAGGGGACCGTAACTTAAAACAAGTTATTCCAGCGGCCTATCATGACTTCTTGGATGTTTTCAGTAAGCGAGGGGCAGATACCCTGCCCCCCCCACCGCCCATATGACTGTCCCATTGACCTGTTGCCGGGCTCTGAGATCCCATTTGGGCGAATTTTTCCATTATCTGAACTAGAATTAGGGGTCCTTAAGGACTATATTGACGAAAATCTCCAAAAGGGGTTCATTCGCCCCTCCACTTCACCGGCAGGGGCTGGGATCTTCTTTGTGGAGAAAAAGGATAAATCTCTGAGACCTTGCAATGATTACCGCGAGTTGAACAAAGTCACGATTAAAAATCGCTATCCTTTGCCCCTGGTCCCAGAACTGTTTCAGAGCCTGAAATCCGCAGCCATGTTTACTAAATTAGATTTAAGGGGGGGGCCTACAACCTGGTTCGCATAAGGGAGGGGGACGAGTGGAAGACAGCGTTCCGCACTCGTTTTGGTCACTGAATATCTGGTAATGCCATTTGGGCTTTGCAATGCCCCAGCCACATTCCAGCATTTTGTGAACGATATATTCAGGGACTACCTTGATGTTTTTGTAATTGTCTACTTAGATGACATACTAATTTTCTCACCCTCACTTGAGTCTCACAGGGTTCATGTGGCAAAGGTATTAGAGCGGCTGCGCCTGCACGGGCTATATGCCAAAGCTGACAAGTGCACCTTTGAGCAGCACAGTATTGCCTTTTTGGGTCTGATTATCTCCACCATGGGGGTCGCGATGGACCCTCAGAAAGTCTCAGCAATTCTGGATTGGCCAATTCCCACAGATAAAAAGGGCGTCCAACGCTTTATTGGGTTTGCGAATTTCTACAGGAAGTTTATTAGGAACTTCTCGGGTCTGGTCTCCCGCATAACTCAGTTAACCAAACAAGGAACCCACTTCAGATTGACACCAGAGGCCCAGGAAGCCTTTGAGGCCCTGAAAAAATTGTTCACCACAGCACCCATTCTCGGTCATCCAGACGCTTCCCTGCCTTACGTGCTGAAAGTAGACGCATCTGAGAATGCGGTAGGATCCATCCTGTCCCAGCGAAAAGGCACCAAGAAACTCCTACACCCTGTAGCATTCTTTTCAAGGAAGCTTACTCAGGCCGAGAAGAACTATGACATTGGCGATCAGGAACTGTTGGCCATTAAAACGGCATTGGAGGAATGGCGGTACCTGCTGGAAGGAGCCACGCATCCAATCTTGATCTTCACCGATCACAAGAACTTAGAGTATCTGAGAACGGCCAAACGGTTACGTCCACGACAAGCGAGATGGGCACTCTTTTTCTCTAGATTTTCCTTTCATATAACATACAGACCTGGTTCCAAGAACACGAAGCCCGACGCACTGTCACGCATGTTTGAGGACCCCAAGGAAGAACCTGTACCCGATACCATTCTGTCTTCAGGGAACTTCTTGGCTCTTCAAACGGAGCTTTGTTCAAAACTTCAGGACGCATCCACGGCAATGTCAGCCCCCTGGGGTGTCCCTCCAGAACAAGGGAGGACTCCTATGGAAGGAGGGGTTGATCGCGG